TTACAGGACAATGTGCCGATTACCCGAGATTACCCGAGATTACCCGAGATTACCCGAGATTACCCGAGATTACCCGAGATTACCCGAGATTGGAGGGCTTGCTCTGCAAGGCGCGCAACGAGATTACCCGAGATTACCCGAGATTACCCGAGATTACCCGAGATTGGAGGGCTTGCTCTGCAAGGCGCGCAACGAGAAGCAGCTCAAGGCCATCGAGAAGCGGCGCCAGCTGGAGGAGCCCGGGGTCGGCGGTGGGCCTGAGGCCACCCGAGATTGTCCGAGATTGTCCGAGATTAGGCGCCAGCTCGAGGAGAAGCTCGCAAAGATCGCAAAGAAGAAGAAGAAGGCCAAGGCCAAGGCGAAGAAGGCGGCCAAGAAGGGCGCGTGAACGGGTTTGGCGCTGCTGTCGGCCCCACCGCAGCGCGGACCCGCAGGTCGTAGAGCCGTGGAGCCCAGGCGCGGGGGGTAGCAGACGCCAGCCCTTCTCCTGCTTGTGAGGGTCGCGGCGGCGGTTTGCGGCGGGGGCTCCGAAGGGTGTTTTGGGAGAGAAGCGATCGACGCGCCGCAAGTGCGCACGCAGGGATACAGCGAAGGCGGATGCGATGGGCGCTTAACCACCACCAGGCTTCCTCGGAATCGGGTTTTCATATAAAAAAGTCGCGGCGCGCTGTTTTTGTGCGAAAAACCAAAAACACACACACGCGCGGTGACTGGTGACTAGGTCCAGCCCAGGGTGGCACAGATCTGACCTTTTGTGACTGTAAGTATAAAGATGAGAGTGAGGTTGAACCGGACCCAATCAAAGTCGGCGTGTTTCCAGAGGGGGGGGGGTATGACGAAAAACGGCGGGCGCATTTGGGCACATGATGGGGAGAACTCTGTGTGGTGGACCCGCTCACCGTCCGGCAACTTCTCACCGCCCCAAAGGCGCTCTGCGCCGTACTAACAGCGCCGAGCGTGTAGCGCAGTACACGCGCGACGCGCCCCGTGAAGGGCGTCTAATGAATCGGCGCAACGAGCCTTACCCGAGCCGAAAAGTGTGAGAACCGTCTTTTCACACCTCAAAGCCGCTAAGTCTTTTTTTCGCCGTCAAGCCGCTCTAGCGGCGCTGCGCGCCGCGTAAAGAGCGCGGCGCGTGCAGGGGAGCACACACTGCACACGCACCGCCAATGCCGCCTCGTGAGCCGGCGAGCCGAGCCCTGTTCATAGCAGAACGTGTGAACGGCGCCTCTTCACACCTCGAGCCGTGAACACCGTCCGGCGCCTTCTCACCGCCCCAAGGGCGCTCCGCGCCGTGCGAACGGCGCCGAGCGGGCAGCGCAGCACACGTCCGACACGCCACTTGCACGGCGTCTGATAAAACGGCGCCTCGAGCCCTATCCGAGTCGAAAAGTGTGAGAACCGTCATTTCACACCTCGAAACCGCTAAGTCATTTTTTCGCCGTCAAGCCGCTCTAGCGGCGCTGCGCGCCGCAAAGAGAGCGCGGCGCGTGCAGAGGAGCACGCGCTGCACACGCACGGTGAAGGCCGTCTCACGAGTCGGCGAGCCGAGCCCTATTCATAGCACAGAGTGTGAACGGCGCCTCTTCACACCTCGAGCCGTGAACACCGTCCGGCGCCTTCTCACCGCCCCAAGGGCGCTGCGCGCCGTGCAAACGGCGCCGATCGTGCAGCGCAGCACACGTGCGACACGCCCCTTGCACGGCGTCTGATACAACGGCGCCTCAAGCCCTATCCGAGTCGAAAAGTGTGAGAACCGTCTTTTCACACCTCGAAACCGCTAAGTCATTTTTTCGCCGTCAAGCCGCTCTCGCGGCGCTGCGCGCCGCAAAGAGAGCGCGGCGCGTGCAGAGGAGCACACGCTGCACACGCACGGCGAAGGCCGTCTCACGAGTCGGCGAGCCGAGCCCTATTCATAGCAAAGAGTGTGAACGGCGCCTCTTCACACCTCGAGCCGTGAACACCGTCCGGCGCCTTCTCACCGCCCCAAGGGCGCTGCGCGCCGTGCAAACGGCGCCGAGCGGGCAGCGCAGCACACGTGCGACACGCCCCTTGCACGGCGTCTGATACAACGGCGCCTCAAGCCCTATCCGAGTCGAAAAGTGTGAGAACCGTCTTTTCACACCTCGAAACCGCTAAGTCATTTTTTCGCCGTCAAGCCGCTCTCGCGGCGCTGCGCGCCGCAAAGAGAGCGCGGCGCGTGCAGAGGAGCACACGCTGCACACGCACGGCGAAGGCCGTCTCACGAGTCGGCGAGCCGAGCCCTATTCATAGCAAAGAGTGTGAACGGCGCCTCTTCACACCTCGAGCCGTGAACACCGTCCGGCGCCTTCTCACCGCCCCAAGGGCGCTGCGCGCCGTGCAAACGGCGCCGAGCGGGCAGCGCAGCACACGTGCGACACGCCCCTTGCACGGCGTCTGATAAAACGGCGCCTCAAGCCCTATCCGAGTCGAAAAGTGTGAGAACCGTCTTTTCACACCTCGAAACCGCTAAGTCATTTTTTCGCCGTCAAGCCGCTCTCGCGGCGCTGCGCGCCGCAAAGAGAGCGCGGCGCGTGCAGAGGAGCACACGCTGCACACGCACGGCGAAGGCCGTCTCACGAGTCGGCGAGCCGAGCCCTGTTCATAGCACAGAGTGTGAACGGCGCCTCTTCACACCTCGAGCCGTGAACACCGTCCGGCGCCTTCTCACCGCCCCAAGGGCGCTGCGCGCCGTGCAAACGGCGCCGAGCGTGCAGCGCAGCACACGTGCGACACGCCCCTTGCACGGCGCCTGCTAAAACGGCGCCTCGAGCCCTATCCAAGTCGAAAAGTGTGCGAACCGTCATTTCACACCTCGAAACCGCTAAGTCATTTTTTCGCCGTCAAGCCGCTCTAGCGGCGCTGCGCGCCGCAAAGAGAGCGCGGCGCGTGCAGAGGAGCACGTGCTGCACACGCACGGTGAAGGCCGTCTCACGAGTCGGCGAGCCGAGCCCTATTCATAGCACAGAGTGTGAACGGCGCCTCTTCACACCTCGAGCCGTGAACACCGTCCGGCGCCTTCTCACCGCCCCAAGGGCGCTGCGCGCCGTGCAAACGGCGCCGATCGTGCAGCGCAGCACACGTGCGACACGCCCCTTGCACGGCGTCTGATAAAACGGCGCCTCGAGCCCTATCCGAGTCGAAAAGTGTGAGAACCGTCATTTCACACCTCGAAACCGCTAAGTCATTTTGTCGCCGTCAAGCCGCTCTAGCGGCGCTGCGCGCCGCAAAGAGAGCGCGGCGCGTGCAGAGGAGCACGCGCTGCACACGCACGGTGAAGGCCGCCTCGTGAGTCGGCGAGCCGAGCCCTATTCATAGCAAAGAGTGTGAACGGCGCCTCTTCACACCTCGAGCCGTGAACACCGTCCGGCGCCTTCTCACCGCCCCAAGGGCGCTGCGCGCCGTGCAAACGGCGCCGATCGTGCAGCGCAGCACACGTGCGACACGCCCCTTGCACGGCGCCTGCTAAAACGGCGCCTCGAGCCCTATCCGAGTCGAAAAGTGTGAGAACCGTCATTTCACACCTCGAAACCGCTAAGTCATTTTTTGTTCCTGGCACAAAGTGCGAACGGCGTCTCTTCACTCCTCGAGTCGTGAATGCCGTCCGGCGCCTTCTCGCCGCCCCAAAGGCGCTCCTCGCCGGGCTAGCAGCGCCGAGCGTGTAGCGCAGCACACGCGACACACGGCCTTTGAATGGCGTCTGACAAATGTTTTTCTTCTTCTCAGCGCATCCATCTCGGCGCGTCGATTCTTCGTTTTCCGGGTTCCAATTCTTTTCCTGCCTCGCCTGTCGCGTGAATCGTTTCGTGCGACCGCCTTTTGTCGAAAATTCTTTACCGGCGTCCGGCAAAATTCTTTTTCGGTCGCGGACGGCACAGCTCGCTCGCTTGCCATTTGCTCACGCTCGCGCAGGCGCGTCGCAGCGTGCACCCACGCAACGCCTCCGCTCCGTCCACACCACCCACTGCGTAGCCATGGCATTTCCGTGTGCATGCGACGGACTCGCTCTCCTGCACTTGCCGCCGCCCTCGCCACCGCCGGTTCCGAAACTGCTCTGCGGCCGCCATCGCACTCACTGCCTCGCTCTGCAGGAGTCGACACCAGCGCCACCTGACCCGCACCCGCTCGCTCTCGCTCACGCTTCGTGCTGTCGCTGCTAGGGTCTTCGCTCATCGACTCGGAGCGCCGGCCGCCTCTCTCGTGCTCTTTTCGCTGTCACGTCACCTCGACACCGCGCGGTCGCGACTCTCGATGTTGCGTCGGCTCTCTCGGTCACAGCGTCACCACCCGCTGCGCCGAGCAGCAAAGGCGAGGCGCAGCCTCGCATCGGCGGTGGCCGACCGCCGTGCCGACGGAAAAAATGCCTTCGATCCCGCCGCAACCCTCCATCTCACCGCCGCCGTCTTCGCCACGAGACCGCCTCCGGCGAGCTGGGCCGGCTCTCCTCGCACACGCGGCGCTCTCGAGCGCCCCAAGCATAAAGATTGCCGGGTGTCGTTAGGGTTAGCCAGGGTAGTGTTGCGGTTAGGGTTAGAGGTGGCACACCGTCATGACGTTAGGGTTAGGATCACGTCGTCGTCGAGAGCTAGGGTTAAGTTAGGGTTACACGCTCCCCCGCCACGGCTCGAAGAAGGGCTCAAAAGTCGATAAAACGGTCAACCTCGCGAAAAAATCGCGCGCTGCGCGCGCAGGAAGAAAGAGAGAGAGAGAGTCACTACCGCCGCCGCAACCACACCCCGGCGGAGCCCGGGAGAAAGTCGTGGAGCGCAGCGACACGACTTTCCCGGGGCGACGCCGGCGCGCGCGGATGGGTGACTACCGGGATAAGGCGCGACAAAGCAGAAGAAGAAAAATTCGGCATTTAGCGCCAGCAGTGCGCGTCAGTCATGCACGTGAGAAAAATCGCGTGTTTGCTCTCGCTCGTGCAGGAGCGTCGCCGCGTGCACCCACGCACGCCCTCCGCACCGTCCGCACTGCTCACTGCCTCGCCATGGCATTTGCGCCCATGTTTCTGCGGCTCCGCCTCGCATTCTTTGCTCGCCGCCGCCTTCGCTGCCGCCTTCGCCTCCTCTGCCACTTCCGGAACGCTCGCCACCTCTCCCACTGCCTCGCTCAGCAACCAGCTAGCAAACTCGCCTCCGGTCTCACTCTCACGGCTAACCCTGCGTGCTGTCGCTACTAGATTCTTCGCATCTACTTGAGCGGAGCGCGAGCGTCTGCCGTCTCTCACCTGCTCTTTCCGCTGCCACTCGATGCCGCGGTCGCGACGCTCCGATGCCACTCCCTAGGTCGCAGCTCCATCGCTCGCTGCACCAAGGAGCGATGACGAGGCGGCAGCATCGCATCGGCGGTGCCGACCGTTGTCACGCTCGGCCATCTCGCGCCGCAATCTCCTCTCTCACCGCCGCCACCGTCTTCGCACGCTATCGCTCCGGGCGAGCCCATCAAGCACGCTATCCTCGCACTCGCGTCGCTCGCCGTCCTCAACAGACAGTGGAGGGATGGCCAGCTAGGGTTAGCGAGGTTGGGTGCGGTTAGGGTTAGGGTTCCCGAGGAAGAGGTGCTCGGGTTAGGGTTAGCACCCGCTCCGAGCTAGGGTTAAGTTAGGGTTACCGCTCCCCCGCCACGGCTCGACGGAGGGCTCAAAAATCGATGAAAAGGGCCCTCCCGCCAAAAAAATCGCGCGCTGCGCGCGCAGGGAGAGAGAGAGGGAGAGAGAGTTATTGCCGCCACGCCGCACGTACAACTCGCCCGGGAGAAAGTTGACGAGCGGAGCGAGGCAACTTTCCCGGGGCGAGCGCCGGCCGCGCGCGGAAAACGCGGTTTTTGCCAAAACGGTGGAGGCCGCCCCGCGCTACCGCCCCATCAAACCCGCGCCGCCTGAAGCCCTCGGGAAGGCCCTCAAAACGCCGACGCGGGAGGGCGAAAATCGCACCGCTTCAGAGCCCGCGCGAGGACGGACCCCACGCCGCCCCACGAGCGACCCGCGCAACCCGCGACCAACAGCCGTGCGGAGAATCGGCAGGAGATGTCCGCAGCCCCAAGGATCGCCCTCGTCCGATAAAACCACCGACCACCATGACCATCCCCGCGCGCGCTGCAAATCTTCAGGCCCTCTGCTCGACTTTGGACGACGACTTTATTTCGGGTGCTAAAGCAGCTCGCACGGGCCCACCTCGCCGCCCCCGCCGCCGCCCGCCCCCGCGCGGCAGGCCCGGCGCCGCTGGCTTCCCCCGCGCACCTCACGGGGCGCCATGACACCGCCTGCCAGGCGGCCTGCAGCAGTGCGGGACAGCAGCTGCGGGATCCCTCGCCTCCCGACGGCCACGGCGCCGCCCCGCGGTCGAAGCTCGCAAAACCACGCACGGCCCCGTCCACACCGCTCACCGGACGCCCGCTCGCGCCGCCCGCGGACCCCTCTCCCGCCAAACCCGCCCCTCTCCTAGCCCCTCCCAGAAGCCGCCACACAGGCCTCGCCTCGCCTCGCACCAGCCCCCGAAAAATAGGGCGATTTCTGGGGCTCCCAGGCCATTCCCTATCGATTTCGGAAAACTTTTTTCCCGCGGACTTTTCGGGCGCAATTTATTTCTTTATTACAGAGGCTGCTCTACAAAGAATTTTTTATTTGCCCACACAGCCGGACGGGCTCTCCTGCTCAGCGCGCTGTCTCTCTCGCCCTCTCGCCGCTATGCCTCGTCCACGCTCCAGGATACTTCCTCCGTGCATACTTCCATCGCGGCGCGGCGCCCGACCGCGCGTCGGCGCGGTCTGATTGCCGCCGCGGCTCTCGTCGCGCCGCTTCGTCTCCGCCGCCGTCTCGGCGGCCGCGCGGGCTGGCCTGGGAAGGTTCCGCTCTGGAACTTCGTTACGTGGGCACCGCACCGCCTCGCCTCGCGCCTCGCGCGGCCAACTCTCCACAGCCGCGGCGGCTGGCCGGCGCCACACGTACCGCCGCATCTCGCTCACCGAGCGCTCCTCTTGAGAGGAGACGGGCCATCTCAGGCCGCCTCTCGACCCTCTCCTCTCGACCTTTCCGCTCGACGCTTTCCTCTCGACCCTTTCCTCTCGACCCTTTCCTTTCGATGCTGCCTTTCGGCGCCGCCGAGAAGGCGGCGAAGAAGGCGGTTCCTTTCGCGGCCGACGCCGCCGGCCTCGACGCGGCCAAGAAGGGCGCGCTCGCGTCGCTGCCCGACAGCCTCGTCGATAAGCTCGGGCAGGGGTCTCCCGACATGTTCTTCTCCGCGGCGCTCACGCAGACGGCGGCCAAGGCGGCGTGCGCCTCCGGCAAGGCCGAGGTGTGAAGAGACGCCGTTCACACCCCTCCTGCTGTGAGCAGGCGGCGTGCCTCCTCTTCTCCGACAAGGCCGAGGTGCCGCCCATCTTCCGCTCCCTCTCCATGGCGTTCGAGGGGCAGATGCAGTTCGGCTTCGCGCCGCCCGCGATGATGGCACAGGCCTGCTCCCCCACGGCCCCGGGCCTTGCACTTTGGATGCCGCGCCAGCTCCTGCCCGCGTGCCCCGGGCCTTGCACTCTGGATGCCGCGCCAGCTCCTGCCCGCGTGTCCGACGCGAGGGAGTCGCCTGGCCCTTGCCCCACCACCGCACCTGGTGTGTGTGTGGAGACGCCTACCTTCCCTCCCCTTCCCTGATGGCGCAGTTCAACATCGACAGGGCGCCCGCGCTGCTGGTGCTGTGGAACGAGAACGAGGGCAAGGACGAGCAGGACGCGCAGGCGGGGATGAAGCTGACGGGCGCGCGCTTCATGCCGCAGGCGCACGGGGAGATGCGGGGAGATGCGGGGAGATGCGGGGAGATGCGGGGAGATGCGGGGAGATGCGGGGAGATGCGGGGAGATGCGGGGAGATGCGGGGAGATGCGGGGAGAGGCTGGGTAGATGCGGGGAGATGCGGGGAGATGCGGGGAGATGCGGGGAGATGCGGGGAGAGCTGGCGACCGCCTCCGCAGGTCCACGGAAAGTTTTCCTAGGGCAACATCCCGCGCATTGGTGGGGTGGGTGGTAAGAGGGGGGGCTTTTTTCCCCGATTTTCCCCAACCCTTCCAACTTTTCCCCCACTTTTCCCCCCCCAAGGTGGTCGAGCAGGGGCTGAAAATGCTGGGAGCGCTCGCCGGGGGCACGGAGGGGGCAGGACCCCCCCAAAGGAGGTCGAGCCGCCGCGAGGCTTGCTCTGGTAGGCGCGCACCCGGGAGGGGCCAACCCGCCCGGCGGCGAGGGCGAGGGCGGGAGGGGAAAGGCGCCCGGCCCAAGCAAGGACGTGGGCCCCCCGCCTGAGCTCTCCGCTGCCAATTTGGGGGGGGGCCACCCCCCCCCCCCCCCGCCCCCCGCCCCCCGCCCCCCGCCTCCACACACACACACACACACACACCGCTCACCCACGCGCACTGGGCCTTGCGCTTTGAATGCCGTGGGGCTGCTGTCGTCTAGACGTGGAGTCGCGAGGGACTTGCCTGGCCCTTGCCCCCCCACCTCGCGTGTGTGGAGAAGCTTACCTGACCTTTACCTTGCCTGCCTTAGGCGGAGTGCACGCAGCGCGGCGGGCTCTGCGCCGTCGGCCTCCTCGAGGTGTGAGGAGACGCCGTTCACACTTCATGCTGTGTGAGCAGGCGGGCTCTGCGCCGTCGCCCTCCTCGACGGCGGCCCCGACAACGGGAACAAGGAGGCGCAGCTGGCGGTGCTGGCCAAGCTGCGCAGGCGGGGCGCGGGCGGGCCGCTCTCGTACTCGTGGCTCGATGCGACGTGCCACACCGACTTTGTGGCCGCGTTTGGGCTCGGCGAGTCGAGAGACCCTCAGAATCTCGGGTAATCTCGGGTAATCTCGGGTACTCTCGGCGACACGAGAGACCCGCCGGCAGCGCTCCCTTTGCCATCACCGAGAGTGAAGCTGGGTCTTCCCCATGAACCGACTCAGGCGAGACCGACTTGCCGACCATGCTCGTGCTCTCGCCGGGCAAGGCGCGCTGGGCTCGCTCCGTCGGCGCCTTCTGCCGCACCACCCACGGGACCTGAGCCCACACCGGGTTCGAGACTCGAGAGGGTGTGGTACTAGGCGCGTTCGACGCCGAGACGCTCGGCGCCTTTGGCAACGGCGTGGCGGCGGGCCGGCGCGCCACCGAGAGCATCGATGCGGTGCCGGCGCTGCAAGAGGTCGATTGCGCGTCGGTGGCGCGGGGTGCGGACGCAGTGGCGGAGGACGATGCCCTCGGCGACGAGATCATGGCGGAGATCCTCGAGGAGGCGCGGAGAGATCGGGAGAGAAGGGGGGGGGGGGGGGGGCCGGGGGGGGAAGCCGGGGGCGGGGAGCAGGGAGGTCGAGGAGGCGCCGGAGGGGGCGAGAGGCGAGGGAGGCTCCTTTTCCGTCGAGTACTCAGGGGCGACTGCATCAACGGTTAGGAGCGGAGGGAGCGAGAGGCGAGGGAGGCGGAGGCGGCCGCCGCGGCGGCGGCTGCTGCGGCGGGCGGCGGGCAGGACGAGGGGGGCGTGGCCAAGGACGAGATGTCTGAGCTACAGCGGATGGAGGCGGAGCTGGAGCAGTGTAGTGCGGCGAGTGCTCCCGAGCCTGCCCCGAGTGTACCCGAGAGTGGCCGGCGGTGTAGGCGGAGGTGGAGCAGTGCGGCGTGGAGGACTTGCTCTGCAAGGCGCGAGATTACCCGAGATCACCCGAGATTACCCGATATTACCCGAGATTACCCGAGATAGGAGGACTTGCTCTGCAAGGCGCGAGATTACCCGAGATTACCCGAGATTACCCGAGATTACCCGAGATTACCCGAGATTGGAGGACTTGCTCTGCAAGGCGCGAGATTACCCGAGATTACCCGAGATTACCCGAGATTACCCGAGATTACCCGAGATTGGAGGACTTGCTCTGCAAGGCGCGAGATTACCCGAGATTACCCGAGATTACCCGAGAGATTACCCGAGATTGGAGGGCTTGCTCTGCAAGGCGCGCAACGAGAAGCAGCTCAAGGCCATCGAGAAGCGGCGCCAGCTGGAGGAGCCCGGGGTCGGCGGTGGGCCTGAGGCCACCCGAGATTGTCCGAGATTGTCCGAGAGTAGGCGCCAGCTCGAGGAGAAGCTCGCAAAGATCGCAAAGAAGAAGAAGAAGGCCAAGGCCAAGGCGAAGAAGGCGGCCAAGAAGGGCGCGTGAACGGGTTTGGCGCTGCTGTCCGCCCCACCGCAGCGCGGACCCGCAGGTCGTAGAGCCGTGGAGCCCAGGCGCGGGGGGTAGCAGACGCCAGCCCTTCTCCTGCTTGTGAGGGTCGCGGCGGCGGTTTGCGGCGGGGGCTCCGGTGTTTTGGGAGAGAAGCGATCGACGCGCCGCAAGTGCGCACGCAGGGATACAGCTAAGGCGGATGCGATGGAGGCGCTTAACCACCACCAGGCTTCCTCGGAATCGGGTTCATACAGAAAGTCGCGGCGCGGCTGTAGTGTTTTGATTGTTCGAAAAACCACCAAAACACACACGCGCGCGGCGCGGTGTGTTCGGTGTTGCACGATGCACCCCCCGCACACGGTAAGGTAAAGGTTAGGTAAACTTCTCCACACACACGAGGTGGTGGGGCAAGGGGGGGCAACCCTCGCGTCTCCACGTCTGACGACAGGAGCCCCACGGCATTCAAAGTGCAAGGCCCAGTGCGCGTGGGTGAGCGGTGTGTGTGTGTGTGTGTGTGTGTGTGTGTGTGTGTGTGTGTGTGTGTGTGTGTGTGTGTGTGTGTGTGTGTGTGTGTGTGTGTGTGTGTGTGTGTGTGTGTGTGTGTGTGTGTGTGTGTGTGTGTCACGTCCCTGCATCCTCCGCCGGTTCCTCCCGTCGCCTCTTCTTTGTTCGAATGTTTTTCAATCCATCCTTCACGAAGCCCTCCCATGTAGCTAGCGTTCTTGGCGAATGTCTCGAAATGGCCAGCAGGCGCTGTCTGCTCGCGGTCTGTGCGGGCCGCTCGTCCTCCTCGCCCTTCTTTCGTCCTCCCGTCCCTCCCCTCCACCATGGCCTTCTCGGCACTTCTTTCTCCATCCGCCTCGCCCTGCCTTTTCGTATCGTGCCGTTCGCCCTCCATTCGGTGACCTCCATGGCTGTCCGCCCCCTTTTGGGTGACGCTCTCGATGCGGTTGCGTCAACCTCGACGTCGCTGTCGCCCTCCCCGTCCCCGCCGGCGTCCGTGCCTCGGTTCGCGTCATCGGTAGCGTCTCCGTTGTTCCCTCGTGCCCCGCCGTCGCCCTCTCTGCTCGGGCCGTTAGCGATTTCGCCCCTCCTGCGTGTCGCCCCTCCGTCCCCTCCCCTTTCTTCGTCGTCATCGTCGCTGTCGCGAAAGCCCTCCGGTCCCTCGATTCCCTCGCCTATCCCCTCCGCTGCGTCGTCCCAGTTTATATCCTCATCCTCTGCGCACGTCGCGTTGGCTTCCTCTCTCCCCCTTTCCTCCTTGCCCCTCTCGCTGTCTGGTGTTAATGGACCCCCTTCCTCTCCCTCGCCACCGTCACCGTCACCATCCCCGTCGCTACCGCCCAACGTGCCCGCCGCCCTTTGTTTCACACTCGTCTCTGCCATGTCCGCCGTCGCCGCCGTCCTGTCTGCTGCGCTCTGTGCTCCGTGGTACAGTCGTTTATTGTTGCTCAGGATTAGCTCACGCACCAGGACAGCCTCCTGCTCGTTATTTTGGCTTGCCGATATGCATCCAAAGTTCCACGCTAGCTCCTCCTTCGTCACGTCTATCTTTTTGCAGTATCTCGCGAATGCCGTCCGCGCTTGCTGGGGTGTTATTGCGTTCGGATCCGCCCTGGTCCCCGCCCTGTATCCCATCTCCTTGCGGTGGCTCTTGTATGAGTCCCCATATGACCATGTGATTTCTTGGCCTTCCTTGACTCCCCTCTCTGCAAACAGGACCATCACCTGCGCAGCTGCCTTGCCTAATTGTATCTCCTCGTAGCGTACGAAGTGCGTCGCCCTCGTGCCTCGTTTCGGCTCATTCGATGCTGCAGGCCAGTCGAAGTTACCCGCGACGCTGTCAAAGTCGTCCCCGCTCTCGTCGTCACTTCCATCCAGCTGCGTCCCCCCTGCTGCCGTGTGTCGTGATAGTTCGTCTGGTACTGTCTCTGGTGGCTGCGCCGTTCCTGTCCGGAAGATCTCCCCAGTGTAGATGCTACACACCTCAAATTTCTCTAGCCTCCTCGTCGCCAGTAGGCCGAGTTCCCCTTCCGCTATGCTAGAGGGGCCTACATTCGCCCCTTCCACCGTGCCGCCCGTCGTTAGCATGGCCGTCGTTACTTTCGCCGCCGCCTCTGCTGCTTGTCGGCGGAGCGCCTCGCGCCTTCCCTCGTCTCCATGCTCCTGGTCTTGTTCTTTTTGTTTTCCTGCGCTTCCTGTCGCTGGTCCGGCGACGTATCTTGCCGTCTGCCTTCAACCTGGTTTGTGGACCTCCCGCACCTTACCCTTACAGGCCACCATAAGGGACCCCGTTGTCCGTTTGACATCAGACTTTTTTTGAGTTGGAGGTAATAATTAAAAGGATTGCACTGTCCCAAAGAACTGATTCATTCATTTCACCCTCACATAGTAACAATACCTCAAAGTTGAAAACCTCCAAAATAGGCCGTCAGGACTCTGTCAGGACTCCGTCAGGACTCTGTCAGGACTCTGTCAGGACTCCGCCAGGACTCCGCCAGGACAACCACTGCCCCCCCGCTGTGAACAGAGCCCTTAGCTAGAGAGTAGGGAGGGGTGTACAGTCGAGTTACTCCCGAGGGCAGGGACGGCCCTCCACTGAGGGAAAGGGCGCAACGGGGACGGTATGCTCACAACCCAGCCACGCAGCTCTTTGCTCGCGTACAGCCAACGAGTTTGCTGGTCCACAGGCAGGCCAGGCCGTGAGCGTGGGCCGGTCGGGCCTGATCCTGCGGTGAGCACTGGAGGGCTATGCGGCTCGCTCCGTCAGCCGACTTGCGCCGTCGAGCGGTCGAGCGCTTCGGGTTGGACCCGCGGGAGGGTCCCTGCGCGGCTGACATGGCCAGCCAAGCCGTGTGCGCTGCCGTGGGCGCTGTCGTGGGTGCTGCCGTGGGTGCTGCCGTGGGCGCTGCTGTGGGCGCTGCCGTGGGCGCTGCCTCGGTCAGCAGTCGGTCAGCAGTCGGTCAGCAGTCGGTCCGCTGCTCGGCGCTGGCCTGCAGGCCGCCGGTGGCAAATCGGGGGGGCGCGGGCCATGGACGTCGTGGCCGAGCTTTGCTGCCTTCTTGCACGTTGCCGGCTGTAACGTTGCCTGCACCATGGCCGCGCCTCTCTTGCTTGTGCGCTTTCATGGTCGAGCCGAGTGGCGCGAGAGTGAGCGTGATTTCTTTTGTCTGTAAGGACTCTAAGTTTCTGTCAGGACTCTCAAGTTTCTGTCAGGACTCTCAAGTTTGCTTGTCAGGACTCTCAAGTTTGCTTGTCAGGACTCTCAAGTTTGCGTCAGGACTGCCCCATCAGGACGATTCCGCAGAGGGCGCGCACGGTCGAAAGGGGGGCTGGGCGTCTATCATTCACTGCTGGGGGGGAGGGGAAGGAGGGTTGCAGTGAAGGAAGGTGGAGGTCTCGTCGGAGGCACTTGTGAGCACTGTGAAGACCGTGCGCCGTCAGGACCCCGCCAGGACTCTGTCAGGACTCTGTCAGGACTCTGTCAGGACTCTGTCAGGACTCTGTCAGGACTGTCAGGACAGGTGCGGGAGGTCCTCCACAAACCAGGTTCTTCGCTTCCTGGCGGGCCGCGTTTCCTTCCCCTCGTCCCGTCTGTTTTCTCCTGCGTGGTCGCCCTCGCGTGCGCCGCTCGCCGTCTGTTCTCCTCTCTACTCGCCGTCCTCGTCCCCTCGCTGTCGTCGCTTCCCTCCGGCGCTCGCCGCATCGTCGTTCCTATCACCGCGTTTCCTGCGCTGGCCTTCGCCTTCGAGCTCGCAGTGGGTCGTTTTGAGTGTCATCCCCATCGCTCTCGTCGTTCTGCCTCTCCCCGCTTCGAGGCGTCTCTCTGCCTCTTCCCTTTCCTTCTCCTCGGCATCACGTTGTCGATGTCGCCTCCGTCGCCAGCAAATACACGCATTCGCCGCCCACTCCATTTCTCGTATCCTCTCCTTCCTTTCCTTCTGTCCCTCTCTCAGGCGTTCTGTTTCCGCGGCTACTCGTTCCTTCCTCTCCGCCTCGAGTCCCTTCCTCTTCCCTTCCCGTACTTTGATTATTGATGCCGCCGTCTGCTGCAGTGCCTTGAGTGAAGTCACCACCCGTGTGTCATACTCCCTCATGATGTCTTCTGGCGGGTCCTGGTCCATCACACTCGGCTCGGGTAGTCGTCCAGCTAGCAGTTGCTCCATCGCCTCCCATTCCTCGTCGCTCTCCCTTCTTCCTGCGCACCTCTTCGTCGCCCCAGCAATGGCGCGTACAGCGAGCGCCTGGGCTTCGCACTCTGCGGTGTGGGCGAGTGTCCGCCTCCTTGACTTCGGTGGCGTCCATCTTAGCGCCTTGAGCACGTCCGCCGCGCCTTTCCTCATCGCCCGGTAGTGCTCCCTCCTCTCACCCTTCACCGCCTCGCACTCGGCGCATAGGACGTGCCTGTGAGAAGCGAGGGTGTGCATGCATCCAGGATGCCAGCAACCTTCAGCCCCATCGGCACACGCTCCTCCTCCCTCCTCGTCCCACCCGTCCTGCCGCGCCTCTGCCTCTAGGCTGGCCCTCCATCGCCTCCCGTGCTCTATACCTCGGGTCTGTCCCGTCCGCATGCCGTGTACCAGCCTCAGCCTCGCCTTTTCCCCGCAGGCCTCGGGCTGGCGCTGGGTCGAGTTTGGACCCCGCTCTTTGTCTCCCTCGTATCTCGTGTCGCCTGATATCGTCCCCGTCGCCTTGATTACCGTCCTCCACACGTTGTCGTCCCCTTCCTTTCGCGCTGCGTGCCCGCCGTCCAGCCACTTTCGTACCCACCGTCCAATTTTCTCCTTCGCCTCTTGATACAGCCTCCTGTCTCGGATCTCCGGCGCCTGCCCCTCCTCCTCATGCGTGTAGATGCATGCCCTGTTCGTCACGTGTCGTGCTAGGTCCATCTCGTACGCGCTCGTTACCCTGCTCCGCAGGTGTGCCTTTGCCGCCGCGTCCGCCATGGAATTGGGCGCGTTGCCCGCGTGCCCCTCCGTGAAGATGAAAATCACGTACCCTCTGTTGCGCTGTATAATGTCGATTTGTGCTTGCACCGCCGCATTGAGTGCGCTCCTATTTGTCTCGCCGCGTGTCCGCCCCCGATACGTCCGTTCGATCTCCTTGAGCGCCGTCTCGCTGTCCGACATCACTAGGCATCGGTGAGGCTGGAGGGTCGTTTCTGTTTCGTCCGCCTTCGTGCGCAGGAAGCTGTAGATGGCGTACATCTCGGCGTCGACAATCTCCCACGATCCCGGCAGGGCGCCTCCCCATATTCCCCGTCCTACCCGCTCGTGAATCTGTGCCCTGGTCTCTTGTGCATCGTCATCTCCCTCTTTCGGCTGCACGCCCTCCCATCCCCCGAATGATGCTAGCCTTCCGTCTCGAGTCTTCTTTAGCGAGGCGTCCGTCGCTGCCGCCGCTGTGAAGTGGTGCCACTTGTGCAGGCGGCACGCCAGGTCCCTCGCCCTCCACGTCGTGCTCGTTCCCCGCTCTCGCATGGTCCGACACTCGCTCTCGTCCATCACAATCTCGTTCTCGCCCTCTCGGTCGCGTAGTCGCTCTTGCGGCGCGCTCCGGATGGCGCCCTCCGCCTCGTCGCTCCTCAGATACAGTCGTAGGACGGGGTCGCGAGCAATATCGCTCCTCCCAATCTCTTCGTATCCCGCCCTTCCTCCTCCCTTTGTCCACATCTCCTGTACCGCCCCTCCGATCTCCTCCTCCATCGCGACGTTGTCGAGTACCGCTTGCGGCGCGCCTCGCCTCCACTCCCCGCCACCCACTAGGTCGTCTATCTCTTGCCCATGTCCGAGCGTGTCCGGTTCGTCACTCCCCCACCATGCGTCCCCGCCGATCGTCGCCTCTCCATCGGCGGCTACTCTCCACTCGTCGCCTCCCCCGTCCAGAGCCATCGTCTTTTTCGTCTTTTCCTTCTGCTGTGCGTCGCTAACTGCTGCGTCGCTCTCCGTGCTCGGCTCCTTGCCTAGGTATAATGTTCTGAAGGGTAGCGCCGAGCTATGTCTGTCGCGTTCGGACTCGTTGCGCGTGCTCTCTTTGATGTTGTCTTGGCGTTGTCCTGCCTCGTCACTGTGGGAGGCAACCTCGACGTGTCGTTTTATTGTGGACCACATCCTGGTCAGCGTGTCGTCGTTTGGTCTCTGCGCCCCCGCCGTGTCCGCCCAGGTGTCGATTGCGATTAGCATTGCTCGCATACCAGCCTCTCCTCTCGTTGCCGCTCGTTCGATGCGGTCGCGGGTGCTGAACGGTATTAGTTTTGTGTCTTGCGCCTCCTTGAGCGCTTCTAGCTTCGCGCCCCCCATCGCCGCGATGGTCCGGTGGCGCTCCCATGTCCGTTTTGTCGCGCCCTTCCATTTAATTAGGTACTCCCACCGTTCGGTCGCGTCCTCTCCCGTCTCCCCCGTTCGTCGTGCCCCGTCGATTCGTTCGTACGCCCATTTGTCTTCGCCCTTTACTTGTCCATTTCGAATTCCCCTCTGCTCCGTCGACGCGTCCGCCGCCATTCGAATGGCTATTCTCTGATCACTTCTGTTCCATTCTAGCCCTGCCTCGTCCCGCACACGGGGCTAGGGTGCTGATGCTATATCTGTGAGTAAAGTAGAAAACTACACAAAAGGGATGCTGGTCTCAGTCGCGTGGGCTCTCTACTTACCGCCTCCGTTGGCGCTTGCCGCCGCCGCTGGACCGACTCTGCTCCGCCGTCGGCGCCACCGCGCCCATCCAGTCCCAGCCGTCGGCCGAGAAGCTGCCGCTGTCGAGGCTAGTGGCCGCGTCGACGGCGGCCCATTCGGCCAGCTCGGCGCGCGGAACCCGCACAGGCGGCCCGCCGACGATGGACATCTGCGCGTCGGCGGAGCCCTCGGGCGCATCCTCCGCCACCTCCGCCTCGATCGTGCTCGGCTGCTGCGGCGGCGCCGTCGCCGCCGCCGCCGCCGTCGCCGCCGCCGCCGTTGCCACGACGACGAGGCTCTCGCCGGCGCGCAACGGGCGGCCGTCCAGCGCGCGCAGCCCGAGCCTGCCCAGCGCCTTCGCGCGCGCCTCTGCTGCGTCGATCTCGAGGAGCGAGAGCGCGTCGAGCGTCTGGCCGAGCAGCTCGAGCGGTTCGGCGCCTTGCGCGCTCAGCCGCCCGACGAGGCCGTCGAGGCGCACGCGCCGGGCCGCCAGCCAGCGGCGCGACGCCTCGAACGCCGCCGCGCTGCGCGCCGCCGCGCCGCGCGCCTCGCGCCGCGCCGCTTCTGCCTCAGCGAGCGCCACGCGCGCCGCCGCCGCCGCCGCCGACGCCTCCTCGCACGCCTGCTCGAGCGCCTCCGACAGCGCGGCGAAGCTTCTCACGGGCCGGTTGCGTGGGGCCGCCTTTGGATGCGGGCCGCCCTCGCTCCCGCCCTGCCCGCCCCGCCCGCCCCGCCCACTTCCGCCAGCGCCAGCGGCTTCGGCGTCGCCGTCATCGGCGTCGCCTTCAGCGTCGCCGTCATCGGCGTCGGCGTCGGCGGCGTCGCCGTCGCCGTCATCGGCGTCGCCTTCGGCGCCGGGCAGCAGGCCGCGCGCGCGCGCGAGCAGCGCCTCGGGAAGCCCCTCGCGCGCGGCCGCGTCGAGGGCGTATGAACCGCCGACGGCGCCTGTTCACAGCTAGAGGTGTGAAGAGACGCTGTTCACAGCAGCGAGGGCGTAGGATCCGCCGACGGCGCCCACGAGAATCGCGTACGACGGCAGCGCTGCGGCGCCCGCTCCGTTCCGTCGGTCGACCCGCCTCCGTTGCATCGCCGCGACCTGCCGCCGCCAAAGGCGAATCTCGGGCAATCTCGGGTAATCTCGGGCAATCTCGGGCAATCTCGGGCAATCTCGGGCAATCTCGGGCAATCTCGGGTAATCTCGGGCAATCTCGGGCAATCTCGCGACCTGCCGCCGCCAAGGGCAGAGGTGTGCACCTCTGCTCGTGCTTGTGCGCTCACACCAACCACACTGCGGGGGGTCCCCGAGCCATGTGTGTGTGTGTGCGCGCGCGCGCGCGCGCCTGTGCGTGTGTGGGACGGACGTTGTTGTCCTCTGCGCGGGGCTACTTGCGGGGACCCGAGGACGTACCGCAGCCGACCTGCAGCCGCGTATCGCGCAGCGCGAGCAGCTTGAGCGGCGACGCGTGCGTCGTCGCGACGAGCCGCGCGCCCCGCGCCAGCAGCTCCTCGATAACCGCTTGAGCCACCGCCGCGCCCTCGGCCGGCTCGGTGCTCGCGCCTAATCTCGAGTAATCTCGGGCAATCTCGGGCAGTCTCGGGTAATCTTGCGGGAGTAGGCGCGGTGCTCGCGCCTCATCTCGGGTAATCTACCGGGCAGTCTCAGGGGTATTCGGCGCCGGGCTCGTCGAGCAGCATGCAATCTCGGGTAATCTCGGGTAATCTCGGGTAATCTCGGGTAATCTCGGGTAATCTCGCCGGGCTCGTCGAGCAGCACGAGGGCACTCGCGCCGTGCGCACCCGCCGCCTCGAGGGCGCGCGCGCAGCTGCGCACGTGCGCAGAGTACGACGACGTGCCCGCCGACACGTCTTGCGCCTCCGCCAAGTCGCTCACCACGGCAGAGAAGAAGTCGACGCGCGGCGACGACACCTGGGGAGGTGTCCTCACCAATCAGGTCTGGCTTCCTCATTGTCGCAGAGACGAGGCCGGCGCGCGGCGCCGCCACCGCCATCGCAGCCCCATCACCGCCTCCGCCGCAGCGTCCGCCACCACCAACCCCCGCGCCGCCCTCGGCGCCACCGCCGCCCTCGCCCTCGCCGTCGCGCGCCGGCGAGCACGGCACGGGCACTGCGCAGCGCACGAGCAGCGCAGCTAGCCCCACCGTCTTCAGGGCGACAGACTTGCCGCCTGTTCACAGCTAGAGGTGTGAAGAGACGCCGTTCACAGCCCGACCGTCTTCAGGGCGACAGACTTGCCGCCTGTTCACAGCTAGAGGTGTGAAGAGACGCCGTTCACAGCCCGACCGTCTTCAGGGCGACAGACTTGCCGCCTGTTCACAGCTAGAGGTGTGAAGAGACGCCGTTCACAGCCCGACCGTCTTCAGGGCGACAGACTTGCCGCCTGTTCACAGCTAGAGGTGTGAAGAGACGCCGTTCACAGCCCGACCGTCTTCAGGGCGACAGACTTGCCGCCTGTTCACAGCTAGAGGTGTGAAGAGACGCCGTTCACAGCCCGACCGTCTTCAGGGCGACAGACTTGCCGCCTGTTCACAGCTAGAGGTGTGAAGAGACGCCGTTCACAGCCCGACCGTCTTCAGGGCGACAGACTTGCCGCCTGTTCACAGCTAGAGGTGTGAAGAGACGCCGTTCACAGCCCGACCGTCTTCAGGGCGACAGACTTGCCGCCTGTTCACAGCTAGAGGTGTGAAGAGACGCCGTTCACAGCCCGACCGTCTTCAGGGCGACAGACTTGCCGCCTGTTCACCGCTAGAGGTGTGAAGAGACGCCGTTCACAGCCCGACCGTCTTCAGGGCGACAGACTTGCCGCCTGTTCACAGCTAGAGGTGTGAAGAGACGCCGTTCACAGCCCGACCGTCTTCAGGGCGACAGACTTGCCGCCTGTTCACCGCTAGAGGTGTGAAGAGACGCCGTTCACAGCCCGACCGTCTTCAGGGCGACAGACTTGCCGCCTGCGCGTGCCAGCGGCGGCACGGAAGTGTCTCGAAAGTGTCTTGGAGGTGTCTCGGAAGTAATTGGGAAGTGTCTCGGAAGTGTCTCGGAGGTGTCTTGCCGCCTGCGTTTGGCCCGGTCAGCACCAGGCCCTGCGGACGCGTCGCGGACGCGTCACGGACATGCCCGCGGGGCACGTGGGAGGAGGAGGAGGAGGAGGAGGAGGAGGAGGAGGAGGAGGGAGAGGAGGAGGGAGGAGGTAGGAGGAGGAGGGAGAGGACATGCCCGCGGCACGCGGGTCGAAGGAGGAAGCGCTGACTTCTGACTGTCGATGCGGTCTCTCCCTGTCTCGACTGTCCGAGCTTGTGCGTCTTGGTGCCGGGGTTGTGCGTTTATAGGCAGCGCCGGTGGGCTCCTGCGGGCAGCCCTCGCCGCCCAGCTCCAGCCGATTGCCAACCACGGCGCTCACGCCACCGGCGGGGGCGGAGGCGCCGGTGGCGGCGGCGCTGGCGAGCAGCGGGTGCGTCGCGCCGTCGAGCCGCACCACGCCCTGCTCACCCACCGCCGGCACGCGCGCCCCCCATGCCGCGCCAAGCGCCGCACGCGCAAACACCGCGTCGAGCTCGCCCGCCGCCGCCAGCGACTCCTCGAGCGACGCGCGGTGCGCGGCGACGAGGGCGCTGAGCGCGCGCACCTAATCTCGAATACTCTCGGGTACTCTCGGGTACTCTCGACGAGGGCGCTGAGCGCGCGCACCAGCCGCCGCTCGGCGCGCTCGACGCGACCGTCGGCGCGCGCCGCGGCCGCCGAGAGCCGCCGCACCTGGTGCGGCTCGACGAACGCCTTGGACGAGATGACCCGAGATCACCCGAGATTCCCCGAGATTGCCCACCCGGTGCGGCTCGACGAATGCCGTCGCGCCCGAGCGCGACCGCGCCACCTCCTCCCCGACGCGCCCCTGGCCGCTGCCGACCGCCACCGGCACCACCCACCTGTTCACAGCTAGAGGTGTGAAGAGACGCCGTTCACAGCCGCCGCCCGCCACCGGCACCACCCACCGGCCGTCGCGCTGCCGCGGCGGCGGTCGGTCCTCCGCCAGCCCGGCGACAAAGTCTGGCTCGGTCAGCAGCGAGCGCATTTTGTCCGCCGTCGAGCGAGCAGCGCTCTGCGCGGCCACCCGCCGCCTCGCCAGCCGCGGGAACGCCTTGGACGAGATTACCCGAGATCACCCGAGATTACCCGAGCCGCGATGGGGCGCTATGGGGAGGTATGCGGAGATATGGGGACGCCTTGGACGAGAGCACCACCTCGCCGGTGCTCGTGCGGTCGAACGCGTCACCAAAGGCCTTGAGCAGCCGCGGCGGCGGCGAGGCGTTGATCGCGAGCGCGGCTAGCTGCGGTGTGCGCTCCCACCGATGCGGCTCCGCCCAGCAGGCTGTGGTGTGGAGGGCTGCCACCGCCTGGCCTATCTCGAGCAGGTCCTGCGGACCCAGCGTCGCGCCCGCGGACACTGCGACCAGGCTGTCCTCGATCGCCAGCTCGTGAGGAAACGGCGGCGAAGACTCCACGGCAAAGGCTTCGGAGACGGCGCTGTAGGCGTCGCGGCACTCGGCCGCCGTTTCGTGCAGGCGCGGCGTCAGGCACAAGGCGCGTCCCGGCGCCGTCTGAGCTCGGTCTGACAGCAGCTGCAGGCACTCAGGGAGGCCGAGGGCGACGGCGTCACGCGTGAAGGCCGAGGAGAGCGTCAGCGCCGACGGAAGGGAGAGACTGGCGCAGCAGACCGAGGGAGCGAGCATGTACCTTTTGTGTGTGCTCGCTGGGTTCCGGCTCCTAGCCGGATAGGGTAAGGTAAGAGAGAGAGAGAGAGAGAGAGAGGGGGAGTCGAGAGGAGACATGGTGGGAGGAGGGAGCTATGCTGAGGAGGACGACGAGCTTATGCTGGAGTACATGGGGAACGGGGGCGTGGGCGACGAGGAGATCGACAGGTTCATGGGGTGGACGACAGTGGATGTGGGAGACGAGAGGTTGAGAAGTGCGAAACCGACGAGCAAAGAGGGTCGATGGAAGAGGGGACCTGAGGAGCGGGGAGGTATTGGTGGAGGGATGCGGGCAAGGCAGCGGGAGCGAGACAACAAGTATGCTAAGGTGCGAGACGGGAGCCATGCGACAAGTTGATTCTGGGTGGTGGTGATGGAGGTTGGGGGCTGGACAAACATGGAGGAAGAGGCTAGATGGAGGTCAGGTATCGTGGTCGAGTACGAGGAGTGGGGGGGGAGGGGGTTCAACCTGGTGACGGAGGACTGTGGGCCATCGCGGGAACGGGCCCGCCGGAGGCGCGCCCGGTAGATCCGGATGGCTTCACACCGGATTGCAGGGTCCTTTTGGGCCAAACAAGACCAACCTACCTACCTATCTGGGAGGGGCCAGCCAGTCCCAACAGACCCCCTATCCGGCTAGGAGCCGGAACCCTGCGATGGCGAAAAACTCGTGGCAGTACGACCAGACGTCGTGGTCGGCGCGCGAATGGATGCCGTTTGCGCTGCAGCGACTGTCGGTGCAGCATCGCGCGCTGCGCGACGGTGTGAGAGAGAGGAGAGAGCGTAATAAAATTGCCTGTGCTACGTATGCATGAGGGCCGCGTATGCTAAATCATTGCCGACTGCGAGCGCGGATAGCTTGGAACTATTCGCGGCGAGCACTGCATTACAGGAGCCGGCGAGCTGATGCCGCGGCTCAAGACTCGCATGCCTGTCTGCGGCAGCGGGCTCTTGCACCTCACCGCCTCGGCCGCTTCCCAGTCGTCGTCCGACCGACCTTCATTGGTCGAGCGATGGCTGCTCGAGCGGCGAAGCGGGCGCGCAGGGCTCCTCTCGGAACCGCTGCCGAGACCTCGTCCTACGCCTTCGCTGCCATCGGCGGCGGCGGTGGCTGCGATAGCTGCGTCGCTCTCGCTGTTGGCAGGTCTGACTGCGGCGCCGGTTGCACCGCCTGGTCGAATATCAGTGGGTCCGCTTCCGCCGCCTCCCTCGCCGCCACTGCCACTGCCGCCCTCTTTGACCTCCTTTGCCTGATCGCTGCCGTCGCGCACAGGTCGCAAAATAAGCGAGTAAACGGCGACGAGCGCCGCGAGCAGAGTAACGGCCGTCTCGGCCATCTTGAGCAATCGCCGAGTGATGAACCAATCGCCTTTGAAAAAGATGAGCAGAGCGCGCACGACGATGATCAGCGGCGGCGCCGTGAGGTAGGTGATCTGCACTATGCGCAGCCGACATCGCATCTGCCTGTTGATGACGGTGCGGATGAGCCGCTGGCACACGACAAACCACACCAGCTCAAACAGGACGAAGCAGGTGGTCGAGACGATGATTGTGCCGTAACTACCAGCGCATCCCTCGTAACGCCACCAGGTGAAGGGGCTCAGCTGCTCCACAGATGGAGGCGACGACGGCGATGCCGCCTCCTCTGCAAACCCGCTTCCCATGTCGTCTACAAGATCTTCCGTCGGTGAGGACGGCGGCCGTGGCGGCAGCAGTGGCGGCGGCGGTGCGGGGTTGATGGGCACGTCCATGAAGTACCACAGAGAGTAGTTTGCTGATGTGTCCGACCTGCGAGGGAGGCGGCGGGACACACAGTCGTTCAAACCTCCCCTCCGTACCTGCTACAACCCATCCCAAGAGGCCCGCTCCGGAGGGCGTTGAGAGCAACGATAAGTGGGAGCAATAGAAGGAAAGGGTCCCTAGCGGCGATGCTCACGGCTGCGGCCCGAGGATCCGATGGTCGACGGCGCCCGTCTCGACGAGGATCAGCAAGAAGGCCTGCGGCAAGCAGAACTCACGTCGAGATTGCTGCAAGGCGCGAACGCACGCTACACGTGGCCGGGTGCCTGAATGAGTGTCACGCCCAGCGCGATGCCAAAGGCAAAGTGCAGGAGACGCCAGAGCTCCATCTTTTTCGCCTAGGTAGCCTCCACTGCCCGGGTCGAGGCCTGCCATTTTGCAACGCAGTGGGGCAGTGGGTCGCGCCTTTCTTCGCCGCCGCTTGCCCACTGGTGGTGGCGTCGGCGCCGCGGCAACGCTTTTGCTGAGCTTGCGATAGAAGATGCCGCAGACGAGGATGAGCACCATTGGCTCGACGAAGCCAAAGGAGGCCACAATATACACCTCGCACACGATCTCCTTGCGCTCGTGCGGAGACCAGTTGCTAGCCGAAAGGACAACCTCCCAAAAGGCGACGCCAGAGGTGAGCGAGGCGACCACCCACCAGAAGAGGAAGAAGGAGAGGAGGAATCGCAGCGTGCGGAGGGTGCGCACGCGCACGCGGCTCCGGCAGACGACAACGCAGGCGTAAAAGGCGAACAGAGCAACCAGCAGCGCCACGCCGCACTCGAGTCCGCTGTAGGCGATGTGGAGGTCCGCAGACCGAGGCGCGACGTCACCAGCAGAGGGCCGAAAAACTCCAAGCTCGACGTCTCCAACAACCTCCCAGCTTGACATCGGTCGAGTGCGTGGCGTGGGATTGCCCGAAGACGACGGCTGATCGGCCATCTGGCAGCTGCAGGAGTTGGCAGCTGATCAATTGCGAGCCAGCAAGGCAGAAGGGCGGCTGGTCAGCATGCTGACGAGTTCCCAATAGTTGATCCGAGCTGTGTGATCTCGCCGAATTAAGTCAGATGACACGCCCCCCCCCAGGTTAAAAAGCAATACTGTCCCGTTTTGCTGTTCACAGCTAGGGACGGCCTCTGCGGCAAAGTCAAACCACCCCACCACCTACCTACCTACCTGCCGCTGCAGCAAACCTTCGGCTCCCGCTCAGCGCTGATGCTGGTGATGAAGGCGATGGAGCGGCCGCACATTGCTCGGTACCCCCCCCGCACTTCTAAGCCCGTCCCTGCTGCTAGGAGGGGGGGTCTGACCCCCCCCAGCAGCAGAGCGCTGCTGCTGGGGTGGTCTCTGTCCTCTCTGTCCTAGCCTCTCGATCCTCGATGTTATTTGGGTGAGATAGGGGTGAGATTGCTGAAAGCTGAAAGCCGAATAACCGATATAAACCGTTTTGATATTTTGATTTTCGACGAACATTCGGATCAACGATCATTCGCGCCCCACCCGCAGCCGCACCCCCACGCGCACGCCCCAGCGCCCAGGTATCGCGCGTAGACCTAGACGGTAGAGCTCGCAGCATGCACCAGCAGGCGACGCAGGCCGTAGCTACGGCGTACCGACTCGCACTCACAGGGTAAGGTCGGGTATGTGCAATGTGGTATCGTGTTGACGTGACGTCGGTGTCGACAGGCTGTCCGGTCGCGCGGTCGTAGCGTGTCGTGTGTCCCGTCCGTACAGGTCGATTCTTTACTCGTATCGATCTCGCGAGACGTTCACCGCGTCCTCGGACCTACTCGGGCCGGAAGCGCGAGTTCCGAGTAATATAGAGTACGTATAAATAAGCCGGAGCCGCTCGGCGTACAGTACAGTAGCCAATGGTGGGGGTTCAGTGCTGGATCAGTCGTCATTGCCCAAGCCCGTGGTGGCGGTGGACCGCGTCACGAGGCGGACGTGGCAAGCGTCGCGGCAATCCCCGACGCACCCATTGTTGCCGCCGGGCAGGTTCCAGTAAACGAGAAGATTGAAGGCGCCCTGCGCAGGCTGCAGCGTCCAGCGCAGGATCGCGACCGCAAACGGCGTGCCGTCGGTCACGCCGTAGTGGTAGAGGGCGATGAAGATGGTATGTGCGATGGTAGGGACGGTGCATACGAGATAGGCCGCGAGGTAGCGGGAGAGCCGTGCGTCCAGCTTGGCCGCCGTGGCAGTGGTCAACTGCGCAACATCCTCGAGCGCGCTCGACAGCCGTGAGGCGGCGCCGTCGTCCAGTGCACTGCGCCGCTCGACACCCTCTGGCGGCAGAGCGCGCTCGGCGCTCGCCTGCTGAAGGAGCATTTCGCTCGTCTGCCGGCGAGCGAGATGGAAGAAGCATGTGACGCGCGCGTACACCAGCGTGATGAAGAGCGCAAGCGCCAGAAGCACTGCGCCGTACCCCACGTATGCCATGCCCCATATGCCGAAGCTGGCTGTCCCTCGCCATTGCGTGCAGCTGTAACCGCCGCGGCTGGCGACCAGCGTCGCCACGCCCCAAACGATTGCACAGAGATATGCCAACACGAGTAGCACGTGGAGCACCCGCGCGGACAGCGGTGGCCGACGGTGGATGAGGCTTCGCTGCAGGCGAATGCAAACAACCCTGTCCAAAGCGTCGACATGCTGCCGCAGCACCACAAAAAGAAAGAGGCGTTGCACACTGCGACCGCGACATCGCCGTCCGCCGCTTGTGATAGCAGCCCCAGCGGAAAGCTCGCACCGTACAGACAATCGAAGATGGCAATCTGCTTGATTAGGTGAAGCGTCTGCAATCGCTGAGGCACAACCGTCCGGCGCTGAGCTTGGTGACTAGCAGCACGATGCTGCACAGCAGTGCAATCGCGCCGCTACCGCAGCGCGCTGCCGTCATGGCCTCTATCTGCGCTGAGCTAGCCCCGGCGAAGGACTGCATCCTGGGACGTCGACTGCTCCGCGATGATGGCGAGCACGACGCCGCGACGGCGATGCCGGCGTCGCCTCTTTTCATTAGAAACGCCTATATAAAAACGCGCTCCAGCACACACGCAGCAGTCAGCACTCCCTCATTGCTCATTCAAAGTTCATTTCTCTTCACACACAGTATGTATACTACGTATTATTCACACAGAAGTGCTAGTTGTTACAGCTCGTCCTTCACGACGACCTCCATGCAGCCCTCGCAGCGCTGCTTGAACTTCTGCAACGCCCAGCGCTCGGAGGCGCCGGCTCGTGGGTGGCAGACCGCGTGCCACAGCCGCGGGTCACCCTCGCCCTCGCGGTCGCCACCGAGCTCATTGTGGAAGACGAGCGCGGTGCCGAGCTTTGGCCGGAGCGCGAGGGCCAAGTTGATGCCGCTGGACGCGCGTTCGCACTCGACCTCGGCGAGCTCGAGCAGCTCGGCGCTGAGCGCGTCGTCCCGGTAGAGGGTCGACGGATCGATGCCGGCCGCTCTGGCGCTGGCTGCCGTCCGCTCTGCCTGGGCCCCTCCGACGAACGTGGTGGCGCCGAGCTCATACGCCCGTGCGAGCGCCTGGGCCGCCGAATGCAGCCTCGCCCGGTGCGACGCGTCCGCCGCCTCGGCTAGCGCTGCACCAGTGCCATTGTGCCCGTCCGCGCCGCTGCGTTCCCCACGCGGGGTGCGGAGTCGCGCCTCGGGATCGGTGCGGAGCAGCGCGGGGAAGCTCGTGTGCCCGCCGTGCGAGTCGTCCGTCACGTTGCTCAGATAGATCAGGACTGTGGCGACGCGCTCGGGGCCGTTGTTCTTGTCGTGATGGAGGTTGCGCACATGGTAGCGGCCGGTGTGGGGGCGTGCGGCGGTGATCATCAGTGGGTTCTCCTCCGAGTGCGGCGGGATGCCCACGAGAGATGCGATGCGGCGCTCAACGCTCGAGAGGAGCGGCGAGGCCGCGCCCGCCAGGCAGCCGTACTCCTCGCCAAAGTAGCTGCTGCTCAGCAGGTTGGCCGGGACGCGGCTGTCGTCCTCGTCGGTATCTGATGGCCTGGACGCGGTCGACGGTGTGCTCGAGAAGCATCTGCGGCCCGCCTCGCGCAGCTGCGCAGCCTCCTCTGCAGACACCACATTGTCGACCGTAAACAGCACCGGCGGTGCGTCGGCATCGTGGCGCGTGGACGAGGAAGGAGCGGCGAAGCCTGAGAGCTGGAGCGGTGTGCGCACGTAGCGGTGGTCTGCCGCCTCGTACACCGACTTGCGAGCGTAAAAGTCCTTGCTCGCCCTCGCCGTCATCCCAGCCGCCGAGGACTTGAAGATGCAGAGCGGGCGGTTGCCGACCTCATGCACAGCGCGGTTGTCGACAAAGCCGGCGCACTCGGCGTGTGCCCAGCACATTTGCGCACACTCGTCGAGCGTCGCAGCATATTCGTAGCGATGTGAGCCGTGGATCCTCAGCAGGTGCTGCGGCACGGCGTGGCCTGGGTAAACGTGAAAGGCGTCCAAGAAGGCGTCCATGGGGGCCCCCCCGGGGGGGCCCGGGGGCTGCTGGAGAACGAAACTCGCGTCAAACATCATCCCGTGTCTCCCCGTCCTCGCCATCGCCTTGGCCGTTGTCGACCTGTTCATCGTGTCCCTTGCTGCTGGTGGCATCGCCGTTGGCTTCCTCTCCCCCCTTTCCTCCCTGCCCCTCTCGCTGTCTGGTGTTAATGGATGGACCCCCTTCCTCTCCCTCGCCACCGTCACCGTCACCATCCCCGTCGCTACCGCCCTCCATCCCCGCCGCCCTTTGTCTCACACTCGTCTCTGCCATGTCCGCCGTCGCCGCCGTCCTGTCTGCGGCGCTCTGTGCTCCGTGGCACAGTCGCTTATTGTTGCTCAGGATTAGCTCACGCACCAAGACAGCCTCCTGCTCGTTACTTTGGCTTGCCGATATGCATCCAAAGTTCCACGCTAGCTCCTCCTTCGTCACGTCTATCTTTTTGCAGTATCTCGCAAATGCCGTCCGAGCTTGCTGGGGTGTAAGTTATTGCGTTCGGATCCGCCTTCGTCCCCGCCTTGTATCCCATCTCCTTGCGGTGGCTCCTGTATGAGTCCCCATATGACCATGTGATTTCTTGGCCTTCCTTGACTCCTCTCTCTCTCTGCAAACAGGACCATCGCCTGCGCAGCTGCCTTGCCTAATGTATCTCCTCGTAGCGTACGAAGTGCGTCGCCCTCGTGCCTCGTTTCGGCTCATTCGATGCTGCAGGCCAGTCGAAGTTACAGCGCGCCGCGACGCTGTCAAAGTCGTCCTACCACCGTGCCACCCGCCGTTAGCATGGTCATCGTTACTTTCGCCGCTGCCTCTGCTGCTTGTCGGCGGAGCGCCTCGCGCCTTCCCTCGTCTCCATGCTCCTGGTCTTGTTCCTTCTGTTTTCTTGCGCTTCCTGTCGCTGGTCCGGCGACGTATCTTCCCGTCTGCCTCCGCGTCCTGATGGGCCGCGTTTCCTTCCCCTTGCCCCGTCTGTTATCTCCTACGTGGTCGCCCTCGCGTACGCCATTCGCCGTCTGTTCTCCTCTCTGCTCGTCGTCCTCGTCGCCTCGCTGTTGCCGCTTCCCTCCGGCGCTCGCCGCATCGTCGCTCCTGCCATCGCGCTTCCCGCGCCGGCCTCCGCTCTCTAGCTCGCGGTGGGTCGTTCTGAGTGCCTTCCCCATCGCTCTTGTCGTTCTGCCTCTCCCCGCTTCGAGGCGTCTCTCCGCCTCCCTCCTTTCCTTCTCCTCGGCCTCACGTTGTCGACGCTGCCTCCGTCGCCAGCAAATACACGCATTCGCCGCCCACTCCATTTCTCGTATCCTCTCCCTTTCCTTCTGTCCTTCTTTCAGGCGTTCTGTTTCTGCGGCCACTCGCTCCTTCCTCTCCGCCTCAAGTCCCTTCCTCTTCCCTTCCCGTACTTTGATTATTGATGCCGCCGTTTGCTGCAGTGCCTTGAGTGAGTTCGCCACCCGTGTGTCATACTCCCTCAAAAAGGTGAGGGCTACACGACGCCCTCTACGCTGGGCCCCTTAGAGCTCGCGGAGGAGCAAAGGGCACCCGATTAGCGCTGCGCGCGGCCGGGCAAAAAGAATTTTACGACGCGTGTGAAAAAAGAATTACGGCTTCTCTGCAAGAGCGACGGGGACGGCTCACAGGAGCGTTGTATCCAGCACGTGCGCCGAGTTGAGCGGCGACGAGCCATCCCACCCGCCAAAGACCACCACCTACCGAGAAGCGCGTCGTGGCTGTCCGAATGAGCGTGACCTCTCCCCTCCAAGGTGCCGCCCACCTTTGAGCCGACGAGGGTGGCCGAGTGGCCATAGACGGGAGCCGGCGCCTCGCCGGGAACCTGCACCGAGTGCCACGTGCCGAGCCCCTCGAGGTCGAGAGTAGAGACCTCGTCGAGCGGGCGTGGCGCGCCTACGACGCGCGCCTCGGGGCATTGCGCGCAGACGGACGAGGACGGGTTTCCATGCCGACCGCGGAGCGCCGTTCCAGCCTCCTAGCACAAGCAGGTAGCCGCCCACAAGCGCCGCCTCGTGGTAGGCGCGCGCGGCCGGCGCCGCGCCGCGCCGCCGCAATCGCTGGACCGACATCTCGCCGCAATCGATCGAATGGACGTCCTCGTGGTACTCGACACGTGAAGCGCCTATGGGACGCTTCTCCGGTACATTTCAGGGCGACTGCGGACGTGACCGTGGCTGCTCGACGCACGACGCGCCCGCGTCGTCGAGGGTGACCGCCATGCCGCCAAAGAGGTACAACCGGCCACCGACCAGCGTTGCGGAGTGACAGGCGAGTGGCGGCAGCGGCGACGAAAGCGGTGGCGAGGACCACGCCATGGCCTCCGTGTCGAGGAGATGCACGTCGCTGAGTGAGCGTGTGCCGGTGTAGCCACCGGCGATGACGATGCTCCCGCCCACCAGCGTCGCGGTGTGCCAGTACCGCGGTCGGGGCGGGTTGCCGCGCGAGTCCCTCGTCTCCCACGCCATGCGGACCTGCCAGATGGCAGGGAATGGAGCTCGATCAGGGCTCCGGCTGCGGTGTTGAGGGTGAGGCTGTGGCGCGATCCAGCGCGGCGGTGTGGGTGGCGGCTGCTCGTGCTCACCAAGTCAAAGATGGGAAGGTCGCCGAGCACAGACTCTGCGCCTCCGGACGTGTGCATGTACGTCTGTCCTCCAAACACGAAGAGCGCGGATCCCACTCGCGTCGTGCTGTGGTATGCCCGCGGTGTTGGCCCGCCGCCCAGCGCCACCTGGCAGAGCGCTGTTGCGGTCATCGCGAGGCACTAGCAGCGCCTCCGTGTGGGCAGCTCACCCGCGGTCTGAACCACTTGAGGGTCTGCGTGTCGAGTACGTGCGGATTGAGAGAGAAGTAGACGAACTGGCCCTGTGCCGTGTGGGAGGGGGGTTAGCTCCGCAGAACAGGCTTCATTTCACCGCCAACGGCATCGCAGCGGCAGGTCTGCGGTGTGTGCGCCTGGCCCTTGTGCTGAGTGCCGCCCATGACGAGGAGATTCTGCTCCACCAGCAGCGCCGTATGTCCTCCCCTTCGCTCGGGCGCGTCGCCCGAGGTGCGCAGCACCGACCAGGGGGAGGAAACCATTCCGCGTAACGTATAAAACGGAAAAAGAAAAAATGACCATAGCTAAAAAAAGAAAGAAAATCGAACAAAACTCCCTCGCACAACACTGGGCACGGGACTGGCGCACACTGGCACTCACACAAGAAAGAAAACAAATCACGGAAGGAGGGATGGGAAATAGCTCGCAGTCAGCCCGTAGCCCGATCCCGATCATCCGGCCCGCTGGGTGCGCTTCTGAGCTCCCCGGCCCTGGATGTGAGGCTGCCGACTGCACTCCAAGTGCTCCAAGTCAGTGGAGTGCCCGCCCTCCTGCGCTAGTATGGGCACCCTCTATATCACAACACTACTGATCCTGGTCATTAGAGCTGCCAGGGATAGCGTCAGGAGCCGGTAGGAGTCAAAACCCCTCATATTTGAGACATCGTGTCCCCCATATACTCGTGCAACAAGCCGAGGCCGAGCTGCCAGCTGGCTCTTCTACGGCTTTTTACTTACTGAATTTTGTGAGCAGTCGGGCTTACATGTGAGAGCGAAATTTAACCGCCGGCACCATAGTAGTAGTGCCTGAATGGTTTGCGCGCGACGGAGAACAGCGCGCGTGAACCGGGTGGGAGCGCGGTAACTCACGCCGCGGAAGACCGGACCGCGGCCGTTGTTGAAGGATGCCTCGGACACCCCGTGTGAGGCGCCTCACGCGAGCATGCGGCCGAGAAGGAGCGCCAGCCGCGACGAGCTGCCGCAGCAGAGGTGGTGCGGGTGGTGGGGCCGCCCAACTGCGTGGCCCGCCGGGCCGGCCGCCGCCGACTTTGCGATCCGCGCGGCCGGCAGCGCGATGAGTCCGCGCCCTTGGCTGTGCCTACTAGCACGCCAAAGACTGTGGGGCGCGGCACAGAGAGCGCCTGTGCCCGCGCCCGCCAGGCTGCGCCGCGGCGAGGACGCATTCTGGCGCAGCTGCAGCGTCTCGGGGGGCGGGTCGCCGCCCTCGAGCAACGGCTTCATCAGGCGCGCGAGCTCCTACACGGACGCGCCCTCTCCGGTGATCTCGCGCAATCTCGCGCTCGCAGCCCCCTCTTCTCAGGAGGGGAGAGCTCCGGAGGCGGCAGCGAGAGCAGACGCCCGACCGCCCCAAACGCGTAGAAGCGCGCCGGCTGCTCGCCCGCCGCGTGCTCCGCCGCTCGCCTGGACACGGGCGGACGGCGGAACGAGGCGCTGCTCGCGGGCGAGCGCAGGGGAAGGCGGTGGAGTGCGCCTCAGTGCTCGGCTAAGTGGACTGGGCTGTGTACTCCGCGCCGCTCGACGTGTGGCGAATCTCGGGTGATCTCGCGCGATCTCGGGCGATCTCGGGCGATCGCGTGCAATCTAGTGCAATCTCGTGCGATCTCGTGCAATCTCGGGCGATCTCGGGCGATCTCGGGCGATCTCGGGGAATCTCGAGCGCTCGCCTCCACCACTCGATTGCGGCATGCCCGCGCGTCGGCCAGAGCCCGCGCCCCGCCTCGAGGGGGGAGAGGTCGACATCGCCGTGCCGGCCGGCCTACGGTGAGGCAGCAGCCATGTGCAAAAAAGAAATGCGGCCGGCGAAAGAAGAAGTGCATGGGCGCGCCTACGGCGTTCGCGCGACAACGGCGGGTCTCGGCGCGTCCCGAGAGGCGGCGCGTCGGCACGCCGCCGACGGCGCGGGAGGGGCCTCGAAGTGTGTGTGTGTGTGTGTTGTGTGTGTGACTCAGGGAGGCGCCATCCCACCGCCATCTCTCACCGCCATTTCGTCCCTCCCTCCCTCACGCCTCGAAGTAGAGCCACGCGCGCACGTTGAAGGGGCTGGTCGGGTCGTGCCGCCGCCGCATGCCGAGCACGAAGCAGGCCTCGACGCCGGCGCGCCTCCGCCGCTCCGCGCCGCCGTGCGCGTTGATCTCGCGCCTACTCTCGCGCCCCCCCCGGCGTCGCCCCCCCGCGTCGACGCGTGCGCGCGCCGCAGCGCGTATCGCGGGCAATCTCGGGCAATCTCGGGCAATCTCGGGTACTCTCGGGCACTCTCGCGCCGCAGCGCGTATCGCGGGTCGACGTCGCCGTACTCGGACCAAAAGGCCAGCTGCAGCGCGGCGCCGCCGCCGCCCAGCCCGCAGCTCGCCGGCCCCGCGTCGGTGAACCGGCGCGGCGGCGGCAGCCGCTGCGGCGGCGGCGGCTTGTCGCAGCAGGAGATGCCCGCGTGTGGGGGGGACCACCCCCACCCCGCCCCGCAGCCGCCGCAGCGGAAAGGGTCGCGCGCCTGGCCGGCGGTGGCGCGGAAAGCGGAGGAGACGTAGTCCGCCCGCTCGGCCGAGCGGGTGTAGTGCGCCCAGAGAGTGTTTCCGGACACCTGGAGGGCCGAGACCACCCGAGATGACCCGAGATGACTACCCGAGATCACACGAGATCACCCGAGACGACTACCCGAGATCGACAGAGATCACCCGAGATCACCCGAGATGACTACCCGAGATCACACGAGATCACACGAGATGACTACCCGAGATCGCACGAGATGACTACCCGAGATCGCCCGAGATCACACGAGATGACTACCCGAGATGACTACCCGAGATTACCCGAGATTACCCGAGATCGCCCGAGATCCCCCCCCCCCAGAGAGAGCATCTCCAGGCACCAGGCTGGTCCGGTCCGCCCAGTTGACCCAAAACAAGTTGTGCTCCCAGCGGCGCAGCGCGAGGTAGCTCACGGGCAGCTCCCGCTCGCTCGCCTCGCGGTGCAGCAGTGCGCCGAGGCACGCATCCTCGTGCGACCTGCCCGCCGGTGCGGCTGTGAAGAGACGCCGTTCACAGCGGGGCGCCGAAGCGCGACCAGCTGTATCTCGGCTGCACCTCGGCCGTATCTCGGCTGCACCTCGGCTAGATCTCGGCTGTACCTCGGCTGTATCTCGGCTGCACCTCGGCTGTATCTCGGCTAGATCTCGGCTAGATCTCGGCTAGATCTCGGACCAGAAGGGAGGCTGCTCGTTGCGGAAGTGCCGCGCCGCGTAGCTGCGCACGCGGCTTGAGTTGAAGACCGCCTCGAGAGGGCCGCGAGATTACCCGAGATTGCCCGAGATTGCCCGAGATTGCCCGAGATTGCCCGAGATTGCCCCGAGGGTTGAGGGCCGCCTCGAGAGCGCCGCGGCCGACGATCTCGAGCGAGCCTACACGTGCCGTCGCACACGCCGCGGTCAGGGGGGAGATCTGGGGAGATCTGGGGAGAGTCGAGCTCCCTCGCCGTCTGGGAAGGGGAAGGGCCCCGCGGCGCGCTCGCACCGCTCCCCGCGCCGAGAGAGCCGGTAGAGCCTACGGGCTGGAGACACCAGCCCGCTGCTGCTGCTGCTGCTGCTGCTCCCTGCGGTCTTCACTCTCCAGCCCGCTGCTGCTGCTGCTGCTGCTGCTCCCTGCGGTCTTCACCATGGGTCCTCCCGTGCGAGGACAAGGAGGGGTCACGGTGTGCGCGGCGTCTCCGCACCAGGCGAGTCACACACACGCATCGCGATTGGGATCAACACACTGAGAGTCCTGAGTGTGTGTGTGCTGTCATGTGAGGCGCTCCCGGCACCAGCCTCGGGGCGGGAGGATGGTGTATTGTGCGGGCGAGTCGCGGGGCTACGAGTGCAGTGGATACGGCGGAGGGAGGTCGAGGACGGCGGAGTACGTGTCCTCTCGAGAGCGATGGTTGGGAGACGAGAATACGCACTCCGCTCCTCTAGGCCTGGGGAGATGCGGGGAGATGCGGGGAGATGCGGGGAGATGCGGGGAGATGCGGGGAGATGCGGGGAGAGATGGGGAGATCT